AGATCAAAGAAATTGTACAGTAAACTCTAAGAGAAGTATCTTTAATATGGTTACTTGATCTGCAATAGCCAACAGAATGTTAACAGCACTGAAAAGTGTGCAAGATTAAGAAGACTGTATAGAGATTAGTAAATGCAAATCCAATTAATGAGATAAGTGTAGATGTGGATCTAGTATGGCAATGAATTTGCCAACTTTTAATAAAGAATCCCATTAAAAAAAACCTACAGAAGACAAAAGAACTGACTCACATGGCATAAATAGTAGACTTAGTAAGTTTAATGCAGAAAAGACACTGAATTGAATGTAAATATTTGATATTTGACAAAGAACATCTGTGAAACTGCATGCACAGCACTGTGAAGAGATTTTTTAGTAAACCTCTTACAAACCTGGATCTTAAACCTTTTATTAAAGAAAAGGGAAGATGAAAATAGAAGCTTCCAAAGTAGTTAATTACAGACTTAATTGAGAAGCTGTTGACACAGCAAAACTTTTTTGGTCTCTGGTTTTTGTCAAAAATATTAATATGAACTGTCAATTAGATTGGAATTTAAATTTAGCAATCAAATGATACATAAAATATACTAAATATAAGACTTAAATACTTTTGAGTCAGGCTTTCTAAATCAAGAATTGAATCAATGACTTTCCAAAGAGCCCAATTCAACACCAAAATAATATGAAGTTGGGCTCTAAAAACATACTGAATCAAATATGGTACATCAACCATTCTAAGCATTTTAAAGGGTTAAAACAACTATCAAATAAACTGAGAAGCAACCACATTAGGCAATATGAAGTTCAAAGAGGTGGTACATGTAGCAATAAAAAGATAAAAGAGTCCAATAAACCAAATGCTTCTAACAGGTCAATATTGGAATCAGAGTTACATTAGAAAATATTAAGCATCAAAGCAGAAACAAATATGTCACTAACAAAAAAAGCTCATTAGAAGAACAAGTAACAATTTTGATCTGAAAAACCAGTGTAAATTCTGAATGAATATCAAAGTGACTCTACTGGTACAGGTATCACAAATCTTCTGTTATGAGACATTTCAGGAATATTGAAGTAGTGATTTCTGCCAATGCTATGGCACAATTTTGTGCAAAATAATTTAAGAAAAAAGTAGAGATTAAGAGCATAATTAATTTGGCACAAA